ATGGTGGTGACGTAGATACAACGATGTGAAGCGTGGTACCGCTTCCATCGCAACGTGGGAAGAGTTCCAAGTGAAGTTCAAGGAACAATTCTACTCGGAGTATGCCGAAGATGAGGCACGATCCAAGCTGAGGCGTCTCAAGCAAGAAGGGTCATTGAGGAAGCATGTTTGAAAGTTCGTCGAAGTAAGTCTCCAAGTCCCGAGTTTAAGTGAAGAGAACGGGTTCTTCACCTTCATGGATGGGCTGAAACCATGGGCGAAGAATGAGCTAAGGTGACAAGGGGTCAAGGATCTCTCGACTGCCTTAACGACGGTCGAGTCAGTCATTGAGCTTGGCGTCAAGAGTGTGGACTCCAAACCAAAGCCAAAGTTTCGAGGCAGTAGTGGTGATAGGGACAAGGCATCCAGATCCGACGAAGATTCGAGTAGTAGTGGAAGGTAATCGAATAGTAAGCACTTTGATAAGAAAGATAAGTCGATTATCCAATGTTACAACTGAAAGGGCCAAGGGCACTTGGCAAGGGACTGTCCACAGAGGAACAAACTCTCAGCCATCAAGGAGAAAGATGAGGAAGAGAGTGAGACTCTTAAGCTTGGCTCCATTCTAAGCACCATGGAGGTCAAGAAGGGTCGAAAGAAGGTGTTGATGTTCGTGGACGTCAATATTGCTGGCCAAAAATGGAGTGCACTAGTGGACACCGGTGCCTCAGAATTGTTCATGTCCGAACCAGTGGCCAAGAGACTTGGCCTTCATGTGGAGAAGGCGAATGGTTCCATCAAGACCGTGAATCCCGAAGAAGTTCCAATTGCGGGGGTCGCAAAAGGAATTGAGCTAACCGTCGGTGGTTGGTCCGGAAGAGAAACCATTAAGGTAATTCCTCTTGATGATTTTGATTTTGTTCTTGGCTTAAGTTTCTTGGACAGGATCAATGCTTTCCAGGTACCCTTTACCGATTGCTTGTGCATCTTGGATCCAAAGCAACAATGTATAGTTCCAGTAAGCCGAGGGTCAGGAATAGGGGCCAAAGTATTGTCCGCGATTCAATTCTCGAAGGCAGTGCGCAAGGAGGAACCAACCTTCCTGTCTTGGTGTGTGACGAGCCAGCCACAACCAAGGATGTTCCCAATGGGGTGAGCCACGTTTTGGCTGAATTCAAAGATATGATACCTGCCAAGTTACCCAAGAAGTTGCCTCCAAAGAGGAAGGTTGATCACAAGATTGAGCTTGTACCAAATGCGGAGCCACCCGCTCGAGCCCCTTACTGAATGGCTCTGCCCGAGTTAGAGGAGATGCGCAGACAGTTGAAGGATCTCCTCGATGCTGGTTACATCCGACCATCAAAGTCCCCCTATGGTGCCCTGGTATTGTTTCAAAAGAAGCACGATGGTTCTTTGCATATGTGTATCGATTATCGGGCTTTGAATAAGTTCACGGTGAAGAACAAGTATCCAATTCCCCTCATTGCAGACTTGTTCGATCAGCTTGGTGGTACAAGGTGGTTCACCAATTTGGACTTACGATCTGGCTATTACCAAGTAAGGATAGCCGAGGGAGATGAACCAAAGACAGTCTGCATGACTAGGTACGGTTCGTATGAATACTTGTGATGCTCTTTGGCCTCATGAATGCTCCAGCCACTTTCTGCACCTTGATGAACAAGATGTTGCATCCCTTTTTGGATTGATTCGTTGTAGTCTACTCGACGACATCGTCATCTATAGCAAGACGTTGGAGGAGCATGTCGAACACTTGAAGCAAGTGTTCTTGGTGTTGCGAGACAATGAGCTCTATGTTAAAGAAGAGAAGTGCTCATTTGCCCAGACAGAGGTCCCTTTCTTTGGCCACATTGTTGGAGATGGCAAGATCTGGATAGATCGGGACAAGATTCGAGCCATTGAAGAATGGAAAGTGCCAACCAAGGTGACGGAGCTGAGGTCATTCCTGGGCTTGGCCAACTATTACCGACGATTTGTCAAAGGTTACTCAAAAATCGTCGCCCCCTTGACCGAGTTATTAAAGAAAGAAAAAGGGTGGGATTGGAGCCCGAAGTGTCAAAGTGCCTTTGAAGAACTCAAGCTTGCTATGATAAATGAGCCAGTCTTGGTGTTGCCTGATCACACCAAGTCCTTTGAAGTATTCACCGATGCATCCGACGTTTGGTGGGGTCCTAATGCAAGAAGGACATTCGGTTGCTTACGAAAGCCGAAAGCTCAACGAGACCGAAAGGCGATACACGGTCCATGAAAAGGAGATGACCGCAGTGGTGCACTGTTTACGCACATGACGACATTATTTACTTGGGTCCAAGTTCATAGTGTTTACTGACAATGTTGCCAACAACTACTTCTTAACCCAGAAGAAGCTGTCACCGAAGCAGGCTAGTTGACAAGAGTTTATTGCCGAGTTTGATTTATCCTTGAAGCAGAAATCAGGGAAAGTAAATTTCGTAGCCGATGCCTTAAGTCGAAGGTATGACATGGAGTTTGTCAGTATGCCGACGGGACAGATGCGAGAACGCATCAAGGAGGGGTTGTCACATGATCCGATGGCCACTTCGTTGATTGAGCTTGCCACTGAGGGTAAGACTCGAAAGTTTTGGCTCGAGGGAGGCTTATTGTATGCTTGAGGACACCGCCTCTATGTGCCGCAATTTGAAGGATTACGAAAGGAGCTCATGAAGGAATGTCACGATTCCAAGTGGGCGGGACATCTAGGGATCCACCGGACGTTGGCCTTAATAGCCGAACACTATTACTAGCCGCACATGGGCAATGATGTTGAGGCCTATGTGAAGACATGTCTTGTGTGCCAACAAGACAAGATAGAGCAGAAGAAACCAGCTGGATTGTTGCAGCCTTTTCTAATCCCTGAAAGATAATGGGAGAGTCTTTCTATGGATTTTGTTATCGGTCTGCCGGTTATTGATGGATTTTCTAGCATCATGGTAGTGATCGATAGATTTTCCAAGTATGGAACATTTATCCCAGCATCCAAAGTATGCCCAGCCGAGGAAGTCGCACGTCTTTTTCTTAAGCACGTGGTGAAGTACTGGGGCGTTCCAAAGACGATTATCAGTGATCGGGACACAAGGTTTACTGGGAGGTTCTGGAAAGAGTTGTTCAAGTTGATGGGATCAAGCTTGAACTTCTCAACGAGTGTTCATCCACAGACGGATGGGCAGACCGAGAGAGTGAATGCACTCATAGAGACTTACTTAAGACACTATGTGAGTGCCATGCAACGTGACTGACCAAAATTGTTGGACATAGCCCAATTTTCCTACAATTTACAAAGGAGTGAAGCGACCAATCAAAGTCCATTTGAGATTGTAACCGGGCAACAACCGTTCACACCAAATGCAATTGCGACTGGGTACAAGGGGCCGAATCCAACAGCATACCAATTTGCCAAGGAGTGGCAAGAACAACATGAACTAGCCCGAGCTTGTTTACACAAGACCAGGAAGCGAGCCAAGAAGTGGGCGGATCAAAAGCGTCGGGACGTCAATTTTGAAGTTGGTGACCTAGTCCTTGCCAAATTAAGTGGGATCTTGCGCAACCCATATCACAAAGGGCTTGTGCAAAGATACGAGGGGCCATTCAAAGTTCTAAAGCGAGTAGGCACCATGGCCTATAGATTGGAGTTGCGTCCGACCATCAAAGCTCATCATGTGTTCCATGTGAGTTTGTTAAAGCCATACCATCAGGATGAGGAAGAACTAGATCGAGGCAAGTCACACCGAGCACCAGTCGGGGTAAAAGTCTCTTACGAGAAGGAAATAGAGGCCATCCATGCGGAGAGAGTCGTTCATCGAGTGGGATATCGACCAAGGCATGAATACCTTGTTCAGTGGAAGGGACTTCCAGAGAGTGAAGGAATTTGGGAGCCTTCCGGAGACTTATGGCAATTCCGAGATAAGATAGACCAGTTTCACTCTAGCCGCGCGACGAGGGTGTCGCTAGAACTAGTGGGGGAGAATGTCACGGACCGCCAGCCCATGACCGAACACAATACCATCAAGGCTGCCAAGGACTATCCTTACCACGTTTTGGGCCTTCTAGAAGACCCAAATGAGCTGATCCAATCCACCTTGGAGACATGATAATTATTTAGCATTATCTTAGAAGATAATGATGACAATTCATTACCCACTTGTTGTAAATAGTGTAGATCTCTCATCTTGGCCATTGATGTATTTTAATCCCAGCCGTTCATTGTAGGGGACTCCAACTATAAAAAGAGGCTCACCCCCCGTTCATTTACACACCTCAAGTTGAGAAATACAAACTAGTATTCACTCTCAAATCTCTCTTATTCCTTTAGCTCGCCCATCTCTTTATTTTCCCCCATTTCCTTTGGGTTAGCAACATTCTAAGCATTCTAACTTAGTGAAAGTTCGGGTCACTTAGCCGGTTTTCGACCAAGAAAACGTCTAAGGCCGCACGAGCTTGCTAGCAACAGTCTAGCCCCGTGACAGTATATATGTTATGTTTGTAAGATAATATTATTTATAATATACTTTATCGTTAGACTGTCAGTAGTTTAATGACAAAATGACATAACTAAAGTGAAAATCAAAATTTAATATTAAAATTGATAAAATTAAAATTTTAATAATATAAATGAATTAACACTCAAAATTGGATAGTATCCGAAATAATGACATTATTTACTATCAAAGTAGTAACTAAATTAAGGTTTACCCTAATTCATAACATGATTGAATTTCAATTTCAAAAAGGGCTGAGAAAGCGGCTGCAGGTCTAGGAAAAGAAACAAAAGTTGTGGACGTTAACCAATGTCACCGAATCTATCACGTGGCTCAACAGTCCATGTATAATAATAACCTGATAGCGACCCTATATTATTCTCAGGGGACCACCTTCTTCTCAAGTCGAATATAATTTTAAAAATAGTAAATTTATAAAAATTTATAAAACAAAAATATAAAAAAAAATTTAAAGGATAACTATCTCCATCCGTCCCTTGAATCCATTTCTTCTGTTTCTTCCTTCCCTCAATTGCTAGCAAATTTGTTCCGATAGGGCTTCGAAAAAGAAATGGCTGATATAGGATAAGAGAAAAATTATTTCTTAAAATGGAGTAAAAGTTACAGCGAACATCGAAAGATGTCCGAACTATACGATATCTTCAAACTCTTCACCTTCTTCGTTACCTTAAACCTGAATGTGCAACAGAAAGGAAGGCAGAGAGAGACTGCAGCAGTGAAGGAGAAGAGAATAAAGAAGAGGCTAGCCATGGTAATTCGACCAGAACTTGAAGACACCATATACTCCTATCGTCTTTTCAAAGACGTCAACTATTCTTGAAACAAATAAAACCTTTGCTCCATTCACAATCACCTGTGTTTCCATCTTTTAATTAATCATTTACGTCGTACTCGACCGTCGATAGCTCAGCCGAGAGTGAACCGAATGCCGATCAAGATCTTGAGCCTCCATATTTATGTTCCCACTTCAATCAGGTCTGTCGCAATTATATCAAGCTGCATAAAACTAAAGCGGGAACAATGAGTAACACAAGGGGCATGTGTACCTGGTACATTCACTCTCGTGACCGAATGAGCCGCGAAATTCACATGAGATTTGCTCGAGAGAGCTGCTGCAATGAAGGATCGTCTTCCATTGTCCAAACAAATGGAGGCATGTCGAACCTTGGCCCAACAAGGGTTCTATATATGTAGAGCTTATCAACAGGGCAGCTTTCTGGTCTTGAATCCGGAGGTCCCCTCTCATCTATAACTTCTACATTCAACCTCGGCATCTTCTGACCTAGCAGCTTACATGCTCCGAAGCTCACGGCGCAAGAAGACATCCAAAGGGATCGCATTGTCTCCAGCTTTTCAGCATTGGCCAAAAGTGCCTTGTCGCCAAAGGGGCAGTCCCTAATCTCTAGTTTCCGGAGGCTTTCACACCCAGAAAGCACATGGTGGAGTCCCAAATCACCATCTCCCGCAAAAGCTATAGACAGCATCTCGAGCTTTTTCGCATACGTCCCAATATATTCGAACACACGATCTGTAAGGAGACCAGAGAGGGAAAGACGCTGGAGATCCTTGCAGTACTGAACAATGGCTCCAAAACCAACATCAAGTGGCTCGAGGGTAAGGTAATCAGCTGTTGTAGGCTCAATTATACAAAGACGAAAACGTGTGAAATTCGGACGGTTCTTGGCAATCGTGACTAATGCCTCATTAGACATTTGACGGCAGAAGTACAGAACTGACTGTAGCTTAGGACAACCTGAAGATACAGCAACAAGGCCCTGTTCCGTCAAGGACACATTTGGCTCTACACCAAATGGATCAGATGGAAACACACGTAATTCTTGCAAATCATTGCAAATAGATGCGAGTGCTTCAAGGCCACTATCTTCAATGTAATCAAGTACCTGCAAACATAAACTCCACTACTTTAGAACGAAAAACTTTGATCGTCCCACCACTTAATGCATCGTTCACAATATGTTTAGTGTACTAAATGGAATTGTACCCCGGTGGTGCTCAAGCTTTTTCTTTTTACATTGTTACTATAGTTTGCAAGTCAAATGCAACAGAAACACTTCCAAAACATAAATAAACCAATGCCACAGAAATAAGCTTACCAATAGGCGTTGCAAATTCGGACAGTGGCTTACAAGCTTGATAAGATCAGAACTTTGAAGCGTAGCATAGCTCAAGTTGAGTGATGTTAATTTAGAGCAGACAGGGTAAATGGCTGGAAGGTAAGCTGGAACCACATCCCAAAACCCAGACAAGCTCTTTAGCTCCTTGCAACTAGAAAATGCTCCAGCCAAATCCGAGTAGATGTCCGGCCGTAGATCAGCCGTGTAGCTACCAGTGCCGAATTCAACCAGCTGCGGCGCATGACGTAGAATGTTGGCGATCTTATCCAGGGGCACCGCACGGTTGAGCCGAAGTGTCCTAAGGTTGGTACATCTACCCACCAGGCGCTCCAAGGCAGAGAAACTAACTTCATCGGATCCTAAGCAAGAAATATTGAGAGACACAAGTGACGTGTATGTGTCGGGAAAATAACTGAGCCAATGCCAACCCAAATCGTCCCCTTCACAGTCTCGCAAGTCCAGCTCTTTCAGATTCCTGCATTAAAAAAAACAGATTGAATCATAAAAACAAGGCACACAAAAAGGTATAATAAAAACAACATTCTGTATGTAAAAAACAATAGAAACCCAAATCAAATACTACAATAGTTTTACTTTGTTAAATCCAAGAGTTAAACATAGGTTGTTGAACAAAAATAGAAGTTCACCACTGTCTTTGTCATTGAAAACGACCAGACAACAAGGCTAAAGTTACTTTCTTTTTTTACAATTGAACTTGCAAACAAAAATTAGTTCTTTTAACGTTGACGTTGAGGTGTGGGATCGAGTCCGAGCATTTCACAATTCGGAGGTCTCTACGAAAGCTACTTTCAACCTGGTGTCGGGCAGCCTACTATCTTACCTCCAATACTCTATTAGATATGAGAACAAAGGACAGCCATTTTTTAACCAATAATTTGAGGTCATAAGAAGAAGAAGAAAAAACAGAATCTTGAGTAATAGCTGTGGGAAATTATTCCATCCATAACCAAATCAACAAAAGTTTACCAAAAAGAAATAATATTCATAGTTAACAACAAATCAAGAGAAAAGGAATATAATTAAAGAGCAAAAGGAAGTCCACATTTCACATGAAGTAACCATACTCAAAAAAACGAATCTTGTGATATCAAACACAACAAGGTATCCAAGAGGTAAAAAGAACATGTGTTTTTTTTTTCAACAGATCTTTTAAAGATGGGATAAATTTAATGAAAAAAGAGGCCATCTGACATTAGATCTGAGCAAAGCAAAAGCGGATGAAACTAAGACAAATTTGTAGCTAAAAATGTAGCTAAAACCAAGAAAAAAATTGTTGAGAACCCTCGAAAAAGAATTTACCCAAAGAGGAGAGATGAAACTCACTTGCAAGTAGCAGCAATGGCAGCAAGCCCATCAGTTGAAAACCCTTCACAAGAAGAAAGAACCAACACTTTGAAGTTCTTAAATGACTTAGCAATAAGCTCCAAACTTTCGTCGGTAACGACCATCCGTTTAAGTTTAATCTCTTCGAGCCAAGGGAGAGCGCCGGCCATCTCGGCGATCCAGGGGAACACATAACCTCCCCATCCGTCGGGCACCAGATTGAAGTCGGCGAAGTGCGGTTTCCCTTTCAGCTCAATGGATCTAAACTCCGGGAACCGTCTGATCACCATCCTAGGGCTCACAGCGTAACAGTTCCCCACGAATACTTTCCTTCGACAATAACGTTCGATCTCGTACCACGATTTACACACCATCGATACCGAGTTCCTGTCTTTATCTGATTGTATGAACGAGAATACGTGCTCCAGCACCTCATCTGGGAACGAAAACGCCATTTTCTTATGCATTAATGAAAAATCGAAAAGAGGGGGGGTAAAAACACACAAAGCACAAACAAAAATGACGTTTTTAATGGAAAAGATGAATTTTTTTCTCGTTTTGCCTCTTGGGTTTAGCTGGGATTTGCGTTTACTTGAGGTTTAGAGTATATTTTTGAGATCTGAAACTCAATTAACGAAGCTTTTAGGGGTAGCAGAAGAGAGAATCAGAAAGTGAAGTCAAATACACAAAAGACGAGAGAGGACAAGGATTTTTATTTTTAGTGTTCGAAAGAAGGGTTAGATTAACCATGGTTATATTAGTCGAATTTTTCGATTTATTTTTCCGTAAACTATATGTTTAGTTCCCTAACTATCACTTTTATTTTATTTAGGTTACTCAACTATTATTTTTAAAAAATTATATCTAATGTATTTTATTTTTATCATCCGTGGTTAAAAAAATAATATAACTAATGACATGGTATTTTTTTAATTATTTTTCAATGATGACATGAGACTATCTAATGATGATACGTCAACACCACTATTAATTTTTTAGTGGTTGATGATCAAAATGAAATTAAAACATAAAATTAAGTATAATTTTGAAATAAAAAATAGTTGAATAATCAAAACGAAATAAAAATATTAATTGGAGTGCTAAACATGTAGTTTACCCTTTTCGTTTTTGTAGGGATACTGAAGGATGATTAGGAAGATGACACGTGGTAGAAGAGAGATGAGAACCGTAGGATCGCCAATTATAAGTGGTGAGATCTTATCCGTCGGCGACGAAGCGGAGCCGCATACAAACAGTGTATGTAAGAGATGTGGGGGACTGGGGGCACTGGCAGGCGATATTTGGAGGATATATCGCGAGGGGGACGAGATATTGGAAGGGTTGTGATAAAGTGTGATGATGTGTAGCGGGAGAGTGGTGGTGCAAAGGAATCTCATGATTCACGTAGCACGGCTGAATCTGTGGGATCGGATATTACGGGGTCCACAGGAAAGGGGGTTAAAAATTGTAAATAAATATTGAGGAATGATCTGATGTGAAATCTTGTTGTCACGACATCATGGCCGTCCAATTGTATACAGTAGTTTGCATCCGAAACCATGCTATCATTAAACCCCGCGTAACGACACGCCCTGTTTATTCATTTCCAACGGCCTTGATTCATTTTATCATTATTGATGCTCATCATTTTTCGCAATTATAAATAAATAATTATTTCGTATGTGCTTAATTTATTTTAAAAATAATATATAATTTGATTTTTATATTTTTTAAAAGGTATAATGCCACAACGCATAATGTCAAAATTAGTCTTAAACTTATCAAAATGATCATTTTAGGGTAAAAAAATATCTAATATTTGACAAAATCATCATTTTGTTTATAATTATTTTTCTGTGATATTTTAGTCCTCAATGTTTTATTTTAGGTTTAAAAAACTCTTTTTTTAACTGTTAATCGTGTGTTATCAAATAGTTTTCATCTAAAAATGAAGTTTTTTACCCCCAAAGTGAAATGTTAGGAGTCAAAATGCTCTTAAAAAATATAGGTCAACATCACCATTTTAGTAAACGTTAGGGGATATTTTTTGCATTATGTGATGCCAAAATTAGTCCCAACGTTTATCAAAATTTTCATTTCAATTCTTATTTTTTTGGAGTATTTTAATTCTAACATTTTATTTTAGGGTAAAAATTTCATAAAGTCTAATTAAATATTCGCTTTGACCCGTTATTATTTTTTATAGCATTTTAACCTAAAATTTTCATTTTAAGATAAAGGATCCTTATATTAGAGTGTTAATGTTAATTAAATATTTCCATGTAACAAGGAATTTTTGTCCTAAAATTCTTTAAAAAAAAGTTATGACCAAAATAATTATTGGGAGTTAATTTTAACATTATAAATTACAAACAAGTGCACCGTGTTTCTTGATATAACCGTCAGATTTAGGTTACCTTTTTCACAGTGTACTATCGAATTACACAGAACCCCAAAAAAGGCACACGAAGTAGTAATAAATACATCTTTTTACTGCAAATGGTAAAATAAAAAAGAAAATGTTAAAGAGATCCCACAATTACCACAGGCTGTACGTACATGTTATCATAGTACCAAAATGCCCCTCCTCTCACCAGCAGAATAGTAGGATAGTTTCGTCATTTTGGGAAAAGACATGGTATTATGGGGATGCACTGTTTCGGCATGGAGTCCATTGAGCTGTCCATTTTATGTCGAAAAAGCTGCGAGGTGATAAAGCTCAACGGGTCAGATCTAATGTTGAGAAAAACAAGCGATTGGGCCCGTTGGATGGGATAAGCGTCCGTATCAATGGCAACTGTAAAAGCTTGTCTCTAGCTAGAGCGTACAGTAATGAGAAGGAATTATTTATTGTGAAATGAATTATTGAGTATTTGGTTAAAACTAATTTATAAATATTTTGCTCTGAAATATAGGCAATAATTTGTTTAAAAGAATTAGAAAATGCTAGGGACGGTAGCATGTAGTCGTCATTTTACATGGCCACGTCACTTTATCATTTTACGTAAATTTTAATTGGGTCTTAAGTATATTTTGATCTTGGACTAGGGGAATCGGCCTAACCTAAACTTTTATATATATGCTCAAATTATAACTAAAGTTAATCTTAGGTGCCTAAAGAATAATTTTCGTTAAAAATATGTGTCTATTATTTTTTATATTATACTTTTAGGTATCTATGTAATAACGACCGTTAAAAAAATGTTAAGTCACACATGTCATGGTTATATTTTAAAAAAAACTTAAAAATATCATTAATTTAGAGCATGTAACTTAAAACTTCTCATTTTAACTTCATTACTAACTATTATCGACCATTATCTGTTGCCTTCAACATTGTCGAACAATCATTCACCCGTCGTCGTCAGACATTCACTGCCAATCATCCCTCTTGTCGTTATCCCAATACCTCTAAATCTAAACTTAAATTCCTAAACCTAATATCTCAATCCCTAACTCTAATCTCAAATTTACCATTCTCATCTCAAGTTAACTTTAAGGATTTATAAAACACGGTTGAGGAAGTTGCGCAACGGGAATAAGGAAAAAATTTTCTTAAAAAATATTTTTTAATAAATAAAATTTTAAAATATATATACATGCGACATGTGTCAAATAACGGTCGAATTTAACTATCGTTACTGTGTATGAATCTAAAAGTGTAATTTTAGAAACGTTATACACTTAAAGTTAACTTAGAGTATAGTTTGAGTACTTGTTTTTGCATTAAGCCAAAATATAAGTATAACATGTGTCACTTAACGATTTTTTAAACAACTATTATGACGTAGGCGCCTAAAAGTGTAATAGAGAAAACGTTACACACATATTTTTAACGAAAATTTTTTTAGATACATAAAATTAACTTAGGGTATAGTTTAATCACTTATTTTTATATTAAGACTTTGAAGTATAATGATAAAAAAAAACCTTATCGTTGACTTAAATAGTTATTTTAATTTTTATTCTTTTTTAGTGTATTTTTGACTCAAATATTTTTTTAGATAAAAAAACTTCTAACGTTTAATTAAATAATCATTTTAGTTTTTATTCTATTTTTTATAGTATTTTATCTCCCAACATTTTCATTTTAGGACAAAAAGTTCTTATTTTAGGGTAAAAGGTCTTTATTTTAAACTGTCTCTTGACTAATAATTTTCATTTATGAAGAGATATTTTTGCCCACAAATAAAATGTTATTAGCAAAAAATATAAAGAATAAGGGCTAAAGTGATTATTTAATCAAACTTTAGGATTTTTTTAGCATTACACCTTAATTTAATTTTTCATATTCAATTTTTTAATAAATAATTTGAATTTAATATTACAGACATTTATTATAAAAACAATTTTCTTAATTAAATTTATTTCATTTACAATATTAATTTTTTAATAGTGTAGGGTGATTACAAGATAACATCTGTTCAAAACTTTCTTAATCAATCAACAATGCACGCACATCCTACATACGTAGCTGCTCGAACCTAGAATTTCTAAAAATTACAATATTTCCTTTTATCAATAAACCACTTGATGGATTTATAATATTAATATTCAAATCTTTAATTTTACTTAAAAAATGGATATCTTATTTTTTTAGACCAATTAATTATTAGTATGTCATCTCATTTTTTTCACCTAAGGTCACAATATTCATTATGTTCGTATTAATTTTTAAATGAGGTTTAATTGTAAATTTAGTGTTTGAATTATATATTTTTTATATTTAATTTTTTATTAAAATAAATATTAACGTTTTATTTTAAAATTAATTTATTATATCCGTTGAAAAATTGTTATTCAATGAATATTTGATATGTGCACACTGTCATGTTCTTTTATAATTCATTCCATACTATTTCTTTTTTATTTTTAGGTAAATAAACATAAAAGAAATTATAAAGCTAGAAGAAGATGAAAAAAATAGAGAAAATTATTTTTTTACACCAAAATAAATTTTAAGTCTAAAAAATTAATCTCAATTTGATTCATGTCCTTTCATTTTAATTTTAATTTTTCTGTAAAAATGAAAATTTTAGATCCTACAAAACAATCTTAAACATTCAATTTTTAAAATTTATATATTAAAAAATAATAAATCTATAATTAAATTATAATATATAAATTCAAAATGTATCTAAATTCATAATAGCCAAACTCATAAAAAGAAATGAAATAGACAAAATCATTCATCTAATTATTATTAATATTAATTGTAATGGTCCCAAAAATGAGTGGGGGAATTGCAATAAAATCCAATAAACAAAAGGGATAGCTGTGTTCCCTTGTACGTAAAGCTGATTGTTTAATGAGAAGAAATCGTGATATTAAGATTAATTTTAAGGGTAAACTACTCTTTTAGTACCTAAAGTAATATTTAGTTTAAGTTTTATTTATGTACTCTGTCATTAAAAACTTAACGGTAATATTATCGTGTCAACATAAAATAATGTCATACTATCAATGAAAAATATATAAATGTCACTAGTGGTGGAACCATGTGGGGGGCAGGAGGGGGACATGGCCCACCCTAATTTTTATGATATAATTATATTTTAAGCCCTTTAAAGTTTTAAAACCATTAAAATTAAGTCATAACCCCTCCCAAAAATTTCTTGTTTAATTACTTTTAAGGCATTACCAGTTTTAAAGTTAAATGAAATTAAGTCTTGCCCCTA